TAGTCTGACCCTTTGCAGGATCTGTAAGACTGGGAGAAATTGCTCTATAGCTTTTGCTCCAGGGCAACAACATAAGAATGAAACTGGAAATGGAAATGGAAATGGAGGATGGTGGGGGAAGGACAAAACTGCATTTTCCAGGGCAAGATTGAATCATGAACTGTTCTGCTTCCCAAGGGCTGGAAGGCTGGGAATCTCGGACTGTGATTTCCGATCGCGCCCACTTGGGTAAGTCCTACGTTTTCTAGGTCTAGAGAATGGGGCGATTTTGGAGGGCCAGGATCCGGGGAAAGCTGGGGGTGGGCAGTGAGGAAGTAGCTAATACTTTCCATCTCACCTCTGTATTCTCTAGTATTTAATTTCCACCAAGCTGTAGATGGGATCCAGGAACAGCAGAGGCAACAGCAAGCAGGGAAAAAGTAAGTGGGGGCATTTGGAAGAGGGGGGAAGCTTTGTTGTTTGGGAAGCTGATGAAGAACAAAGAGGTTGCTGGAAGGAAATGATTCAGCAGGCTGAAATGGAGAAGTGTCAGCCTTGCGAGGTAGTCCAGACAAGAAACACACCCAAAAGGGCTTGTCCTAACTTTATTGTAAGGTGACAGTACCAGAATCTTGCAAGTCTGAAAGTACATCTCTTCCCCCTCGCCTTTACAGCCTGAGAAACTAGGGAGGGTCCCTCCTGAGTCTCTTCCTCTGCCTGTTATGTAGCTGCGGGCTCAGCTGCCTCTTATCCAACCATTTCCCTGGCTGTAGCTCTTCCCTCTGTCTCCCAAGACCATTACATCAGGTCACAAGGAGGGAAGAAGACGTCATCTCTTTAGACCAGGATATCACGCGAGAATGTCTTCTGTAAGGGATAGTGAAGCGGGTACCAGTGATTCTCAAGCCAGGCAGGACTGTTATATAAACCAGGAGCAGATGCCGCTGACTCTCACGGCTGGCGAAAGCATGGCCTAAACTCCGTTGTATCAAACAGGCAGGAAGGAAGTAACAGGAAGTTTGTAAGTAGGGTGTCACAACTTATCTAGCCATGTTGGCCCCGGGAAGCGGCTTCTGCTCTGAGCAGATTCCAGAATATGGGGAATTCGGGTCAGGAGAGCCTCACTTGATTGCTCGTGCCAGTTTTGAAGTTTGTTGCCCGGCGTAGGGCAATGCAGAACACTCTTCTGTTTTCTCCAATGCACTGATTCCTCCGATATATGTTTGTTTATAACCAAACCAATAAATGATTTCTACGTGAAAGACACCCCTTGAAGAAGCTAAGCTCAGAATCGGAGTGGAAGTTTTTGAGAAAGCAAGCGCCGGGGGTTCTGGATTTTGAGAAGGGGTTGACGGTCATCCGCTGCTGTTGGTTGGAGTGGGGGGGTGGGTGCCCTTTCAGACCCTGTCAGAAGATGGCCTGTGGGTCCTCATTTCTCTTAACAGCCTGGGCACCACCAAGAAGGGGATTGGCCCAGCCTACGCCTCCAAAGCCTCACGCACCGGCCTGCGCATTTGTGACCTGTTAGCGGATTTCAACGAGTTCTCCAAAAAGTGAGTGAATATGGAGGCGACAGTTCCTGCCCCGGGATGGGGGTTTGGGGAATAAGTGGGGGCTGGATACGACTATCTGCAGAGCGGGTGGGGGCTCTGCACAGGCGGACCGTCTGAAAGCTTGTTGGATTTGGAAAGTAACTAATTTATCACCAGCTTGTCTCAGATTCAGGGTTTTGGCCCAGCAGTGCAAAGCCAGCTACCCCGCGCTCAACATCGACACCGAAGCCGAGCTGGAGCAGTTGAAGGTATTTTCTGGCACGTGGGAAGGGGACGACTTTCAAATTTCTCAGCCCGTGAGGATGAGCACTTAAAGCTGTGCTAGGCTGTAGTGTGCACTTAAAATACAGTTTCCTGGATTCATACATTGTGCTAGGCCAAAATCAAGCCGCATTTATACTTTAACATTACATGGAAATCAGGCCTTGGCGGCTGGGTTCACCAGTGACGCTGTGCTGAACAAACCGTAGTTGGCGGCAGTCCTGTTATATGCTGAGATAAACCAAGTTTTACAAACTGTCGGTCCTCTTCCTCCTCCAAACATCACGAGCGAACGGCCTTGCATAAAATGAGAATACGGCTCGTGCGGTTTTAGCTTTCGGCAGCTTTGATCTTAGCCAATGTGTTTGCCCTTGACCTCAATAAGGGCTAGAAACTTCCCTTTTAAAAAAGAAAAGTGAAAATTCTCGGGCCACTGAATCGGAGCCTCATCTCGAACTCTTCCAGTTTTGATACTGGCCCTTATCTCTTAAAAATGAAGGAAGCCCTCAGCTCCTTCCTTCGAGTAAGGCAAAACTGGTCTTTGATGTCACTGTCAATCATTCCTGATTGGCAGATCTACGCAGAGAAGATCCGCCCCCTGGTGAAGGACGGTGTTTATTTCATGTACCAAGCTCTGCACGGACCCTCCAAGAAGATTCTCGTCGAAGGAGCTAACGCTGCCCTGTTAGACATCGATTTTGGTAAGGTGTTCTTCCCTTTTGCGTGTTAATGTTGACTGTTTTCACATACATGTATGCGCCACCCTTTTCTCAATGGACAAACCAGCTTAGACTTCATATCTGGAATTGCTGGCTTGATACGTTGGGCGGTGCTTGTTTTCCTTCAAACCATGGCTTGTCAAATAAGCCACCAGGGCCTGCGTGCATACGGCATGCTAAAGCCATCCCGCACCGTCGACACGCTGCAGCGACCGGCTGCGCGCATTGCACCGGATCAAAATCAAGCCAACCACGCAGGGGCTTCGCGACATGTGTAAAAGACAGCGCTTGAGTTGGCTCCGCTAGAGCAGAAATAGAGGCAGAGGTGGAGATGCTGGGAATTTCACCTTGGGAAGAAGCTCGCCGCCCCTGAGCCATTCTGTAAAAACAAGGTTCTAGTCCTCATAATTCTAAGATAAGGCTAATTGCAGTAGGAACCTAGGAAGTGACTGGATACATCATCAATGTGCTGCTTAGTATTCTTTGAAGTTACAGGTGAGGTGGGGGGCTTCTCATCCCTACCTAGAGATCCTAATCTTAAGTCGGCAAATGTTGCTGGCTGAAAATTTTCCTTCCTGGTCCTTTTCCAGCCCGGATACCTTTTTTTTTCTCTCTCCCAAAGGTACCTACCCTTTCGTGACGTCCTCAAATTGCACCGTGGGGGGTGTGTGCACCGGCCTTGGCATTCCCCCCCACTACATCGGCAAGGTGTATGGCGTGGTGAAGGCGTACGCTACCCGGGTTGGAGTGGGGACCTTCCCCACCGAGCAGAACAACGTGAGTCCCTGAATATCGGGGTGTGTTTCCCCCAGCCCTTGGTGGGAGCCGTGTCTTTGTGGCCTGGGCGGCACCCCTGATTAATCATCATTTATTTATTTATTTATTTATTTATTTATTTATTAAATATGTGAAACAGATGGGTAATCCCATCCCCAAAAATTCTCAGAAAGAATTGAGCTTTCCGTTACCTTCTGAAAGGCCATTGCGAACGAGCCGATCTAACTGAAAGGGGACTTTGCAGGAGAAATCTGGGATGTTGCTTAAGGCAGGGTTCCTCAACCCTGGCAAGTTGAAGACGGGTGGACTTCAACTCCCAGAATTCCCCAGCCAGCTGGCTGGGG